GAGTGTCCTTGGGGTTACTCAGATATCTTCTAGTTCTAATGTTATGATTCTGTGCAATGGTGTTCTGGGAAAGGAGCAGGGACCCGGGGTCACAGTCAACCATGGCTGGCCTACTTTAGGGTCTCAAGAAGCAAGAAAGATGCTTTCCAGCCGCAGACTCCTGGGCAAATCCAAAGTTACACTTATAGAATCTGGCAAGTCTAAAGTTCCTGGATCAAACGTCAAGCTGGAGGCTTTTCCTGACTCTTGCAGCAGCAGGGGCTGAGGAGCTCAAGGCTAGCAGGCAGTACACTGGCTGTTGACTCCAATGAATGACGAATCCAAGATCTTGGAATTAGGATTTGGTATCTTTAGGGGGCTGTTATTCAGTTTTCAACAGTGGTTTGAGAAATCTTAAAATACTGGGCTTGGAGCCGGAGTTGGTGCTGGTGGTGGTGTTATAAAAGCTGGACTTCCAAGTTCTTGGATCAAATGTCAGGCTGGAGTTAGTTACTAGATGTTGGTAATGCAAGGATCTAAGTTTTCTTGTGACTTATTCTGAGGGAACTAGTTAGTTAGAGGTAAGATTAATTAGGGATGTTTAGGCATTTTGAAGGAGCTCTGGAGTACTTCAGTTAAGGCATTGGGCTGCTAACCAAAAGGTAAGCAGTTCAAACCCACCAGCCACTCCATGGGGAGAAGAAGAGGCAATCTACTTCTGAAAAGATTTACAGCCTTGGAAACCCAATGGGATTGCTATGAATCAGAATTGACTTGATGGCAGTGGGTTAGGCACTTATTAACATGAATTACCAAAACACCAAACTTGCTGCCATCCAGTTGATTCCAACTCATAGCGACCTCATTAAGTTTCCAAGGCTGTAAATCTTTACGGAAGCCTAATGCCTCATCTTTCTTCTGCAGAATGGCTGGTGGGTTTGAATCACTGACCTTTGGGTTAACAGTCAAAATGCTTTAACCTAACCATTACACCATGAGAGCTCCTTATTAACATTAATAGATGGACTAAATGGGAGGTAGTGAAAGGAAGTTCTCCCTTTGTAACTGAGAAAGTCTTTACTTCTGACTGGTACAGTGCAGTATTTTTCAACCTATTTGTGGTAAAGAGCTGGGTGTTTTTACTTTTAATCTGTTGTGGACCTAAAGTTTTGGAAAAGACAGTAAAAATGAATTCTGAGAAAAATGAAATGACATTCAAAATGCAAGTCCACAAATTACATTAAAAGAGTACTCTCAATTGCTGTCCCTCACAGACCAGTAACATGTGGTGAACAGGCACTTGTCTGTGGCCACATTTAGAGTAGCATGTGAAAACTCATGTACTACATCTGATTCAGTCGGAGAACTGAATACGATTCCATTACTACTAGCTAGCTAGCCTTGGAAAAGCCACTTAACCTTTCTAAATCACAATTAGATCAGGTAAAATCTGTATTTAGGCTTTTTATGAGAATTAAATGAAAATGTACAAACTTCATAGGAAGCACTCAAATGTTACTTGAAATAAAATAATTACAACAGTTATCTATTAAGCATATATTGTTTTCTGTGATCTCTGCTCCATCTTATTGACTGGAAAGAATATGCTCAGTTGATCATATTTCAAGGATCTTGAAAGCTTGTTTGATGGCTATAATGGAAGCACAGTTACTTTTTCTGGGAAAAAACAGCCCTTTCTCTGGAAGTTCACCCTCTTCCACTGAGCTGGCAGCTTTAATTGGAGGGGGGAGAACTATAGGAGCAGTGAGGTACTTGTCGACCTAAACATGTCTACTGCCATCACTTTTATACACTGAATGTTTGAAGAATGAATGAAGCACTATGTTAAAAGTTAAAAGTCTAGGTGATTATTCCATTAAACTGGGAAGAGACTGTCTAACAAATGGTTCTGGCAAAACTGGATATCCATTTGCAGAAAAATGAAACAAGATCTGTACCTCACACCATACACAAAATCTAACCCCAGATGGAGCAAAGACTTAAATGTGAAACCTAAAATTATAAAGTTCCTCAAGAAAAAATAGGGACAAATATAGGGGCCCTAATATATGGCATAAATAGACTATCAAGCATAAACCAAAATGGACAAACAGCAGAAGATAAACTAGATGAATGAGACCGTCTAAAAATTAAATTTTTATGTGCTTCCAAAGACTTCTTCAAAAGAGTCAAAAGGAACCTACAGATAGGGAAAAAAATATTTGGCAATGACATATCTGACAAGGAAGTCATCTCTAAAATTTATAGAAAACTCCAACACCTCAACAACAAAAAGACAAACAATCCAATCAAAAAAATGGGCAGAAGACATGAATAGACACCTCACCAAAGAAGATAATCAGGCAGCCAACAAACACGTGAAGAAATATTCACGATCATTAGCCATCAGAGAGATGGAAATCAAAACGAGATACCATCTTGCCCCAGCACTAGTGGCAAAGTTCAAGAAGACAGAAAATAACAAATGCTGGCGAGGATGTGGAGAGATTGGGACTCTCATACACTGCTGGTGGGACCGTAAAATGATACAACCACTGTGGAAAGCAGTATGGCGATTTCTTAAAAAGTTGGAATTAGAAGTACCATTTGACCCAGCAATTCTATTACTAAGTATATATCCTAAAGAAGTGAGAGCTGGGACAAGAACAGACATTTGCACACCCATGTTCATTGCAGCGCTATTTACAACAGTCAAAAGATGGAAATAACCTAGGTGCCCATCAACAGAAGAATGGATAACCAAATTATGGTACCTACATACAATGGAATACTATGCAACCCTAAATAATGTAGAATCTGCAAAACACTGCATAATGTGGATGAACTTGGAGGACATTATGCTGAGTGAAATAAGTCAATTACAGAAGGACAAATACTGTATTAGTCTGCTACTGTAGAAAGTCAAGGAAAGGTTTATTACATATGGAAGGAATTTTCTTTATTGCTTACCCGGGGTGGAAGGGGAGGGGAGGGGAAAGAACACTGTTAGATAGGTAGAGACAAGTATTGATTTAGGTGAAGAGAAGGGCAATGTACCAAATATGAGTGATCAACATGGAGGCATCGAGGAAGGGGAAGACATAAGAGAGCTATGTGGGAGGTACAGACAACAAAGATGAATCCTTTTGTACATTCAGTACTACATTGTCAGTGATGGCAAACACTGATCTATGGATGGATAGATGGGTGGACAGGCTGAATGATTAGGTATGTCTATGGAGGAGTAGTGTGCCCATGACCATGTATAGGGTTGGCAAACAATGTTTCTACAAGTATATTTGTATGTTCTGTAACAATTTCTACGTATATAGTAGAGCTGACAATGGACACAGTTGTAGTCACTTCTTAGTTACAGCTAGCCACTCAGAGGGAGCAAGGAGTTGGACCTGTGGGTTTGAGACCATGGTTGCAAGGGACATCGAGCTCAATTGGCATAACACACCACACAAAAACACTGTTCCACATCCTACTTTGGCAAGCAGGGACTGGGATCTTAAAACCCTACAAGCAGCATCTAGATGCAATGAAGGATCTCTCCTCATCCAGAGCAAAGAGGAATGAAAAAAACCAAAGATGTGTGGAAACAATTAGTCCTAGGGACTGGTACACCATGTGATCCTCAGCTTGTATGACTATGAGACCAGAAGAACTAGATGGTGCTTGGCTACCAATGTCAACCACTTGGAGGGGGATCTCTGTAGTATATCCTGGATAGAGTGAGAGAACAATGTGGAGCAAAAGTCAAAATCATTAAAGAAGAAAGGGACCAGGTTTGCTGGTCTGATAGAGACTGGTGGAACCGAAGACTATGGCCCCTAGCTGCCCTTCAGGTCTGGAACTGAACACATTGCTGTGGCTTCCAGCCAAACAAAAGACAGGCATATGAGCTGAACACTGTTTTAGGTAGATACACTCCTTGGAGAGATCAATCATGGGAGAATAGCAGAGCTGTTTATATACAGGGAGACAACTTGGGGGGCAGGAGTGCATGGGAGGGAATGACACAGGGAAGTGGCTATGGGGAGGAAGTGGGCGGAGAGCTGTTGTACTGTGGGAGATTACGGTCAATGTCAAGAGACAAAGTGTATGTGAAGTGCTGTATGGAAGATGAATTTGCTCTGTAAACTTTTACCCAAATCACAGTTTAAAAAAAAAAAAAAAAAAAGTCTAGGTGATTATTATGAAACCCAGAAGAAGAAGACATTTAAACTACATTAAGCAGGCTCAAGAATGACAAGTTGTTCTTTGATTAATCATTGTAGCTACCATTTATTGAGATCTTACAATGCCAAACATACATTAATCTTTACAGTAATCCTGTGAGATGAATAATTTTAGACATAAGGAAATAAAAGTTCATCAATGTTAAGTCTCTTAAATCACAAAATGCCAGTTACTGGCTAGTTCCAAAAGGCTAACCAGATGTCACATCCCCAGATTTGTTCTCTAACACTGTATTTACCACATCTTGGAAGCAAAAGCACTCTAGCTATGGTGTTCAAACAAGTCTTTCAGGTTAAATGAATGGCACTCAGACTACTAGACCTGGTTCCAAAAACTATAAAAGATAAGTCAGTCTAAAGTATTAAAATATACTTAAAGGACATAGCTTAACTACTTTACCAAAAAAGCAGCTCCCACCATGAAAAAATCAACTGAGGATATTTTAAAAATATCTTCATTCTATGATGTTGATATATCATAACAATAACTTTAAAATACTGGCTCCAAAGATCCTACATATCTGAAATGAACCATAATTCCCCACATTAACATCGGCTTGGAGATGGAAATCAAGATCACCTAACCTGCTCACTTTGGCCAATATAATCAATGAGAATTTCAAGTTTTGTTCCACATCCCAAGATGTCAACATGCAGTAAGTTGCTTATGTGCATATTACCTTTCTGCCTCAAGGAACAAAAGCCTAGGAAATCCACAAATGTACAGTCACTTCCTAGAAAACCAAGATGCTGGTGGGTGGAGACAGAATGAAGGTTTTATAAACCAGAGAGTGTTCTGTTTCTGTTAGGTAGAGGGATTTCTTCATAGGTGATTTTAATAAAAGGGAATTTCATAGGTAAAAACCAATATTCAAAATTATAAAACAAATAGAACTCTCTGTGTATAATCACTGCATCAAAAATTTGCAAAAGACTCAATAGAAATTCTTTAGTTGACAAATACGGTTTGAAGGGGTAATAAAATCTTTTTATGGCTAAGGCAAGTGTCTTGTTTCCTGCTGGCCCAAAAACAGATGTTTCATTTCCCAAGTACATAGGTTCTCCACTGTAAAGAAATATTCTTGTATAGTTGGTTTCTATCTTCTTGAACTCTGCTCCAAGTTCAGCCAACTTCTGGTATGTCCTTAACACAAATTTGGAACAGTCATAGGATTCAAACCATGTCTCCGCCACTTTTTCTGGGCTGGATTGCACAGTCCAAGTCTCATAATAAATACCTGTCTCATTGTCCTCTTTTACCCACTTTGCCATTTGGTTAAACATGTTTCCTAGGAAATAAAAAGTTATTACCAAAGTTAATCATTACATTTTAAGTGTTCTAATTAAGGCACATGAATAAGCAATAGCTTTTAACATTTCTAAATCTACATCTCACGACAGTCCAAACTCAGCTAATTTTTATTTTATTATTCAAGGCAGAAGATATTTCTGAATTGTAAACATTAGATATAACAGATGTAGAAAGAGAAATCTCACACACTAATTCTATAATCATTTCAGCTATTACTCAAAAGTGAAATTATGTAATTGCTGAAGTTTGCTTTCTCTACCCCACACAACAAACCTTGAATTCAGGGGCAAAAAAAAGAAAGAGAAAGCAAAGAAAGAATTATTGAAGAGAAAAAAGTGAATGGAGCAAGGACAATTTAAGAGAATATGGGAAGGAGGGAATTCTGTGCAGCTCTTCTATTGTAAAGAACGGCACACATATATGTGAATGGCTGCCTGAGATGGTTATTCCTTTTTTTTTTTTCCCTAAGGCATTTGACTGTTAACCAGAAGGCTGGCGGTTCAAACCCACCAGCCACTCCTGGGAAGGAAGGTTGGGCAATCTACTTCCGTAGTGATACTGCCTTGACAACCCAAGGAGGGGTTGCTATGAGTTGGATCTGACTCAAAGGCAGTGAATTTGTTTTTTTTAAGCTCTCTTCCCACTTCCTCCCCATAGTTACCTCTTTCCTGTGTCCTTCCCTCCCATACACTCCCACCCTCCAAGGTGTCTCCCTGTGCAAACACTGCACTTTTGTTCTCCCATGATCGACTGCTCCAAGAAGTATATCTACCTGATATAAATGTTCAGCCCATATGCTTGTCTATTGTTTGGCTGGAAGCCACAGGAGTGAATTCAATTCCAGACCTGAAGGGCAGCTAGGGGTCATAGTCTTAGGGCCTTCACCAGACTCTATCAGACCAGTAAACCTGGTCTTTTTTATGATTTTGAATTTTGTTCCACATGGTTCTCCCACTCTATCCAGGAACTCTTGTACCAATTCCCCTCCAAGTGGTTGACAGTGGTAGCTAGGCACCATCTAGTTCTTCCGGTTTCATGGTCATATAGGCTGAGGATGACATGCTCTACCAGTCCCTTGGACTAACTGTTTCCATGCATCTTTGGTTTTCTTCATTCTTCTTTGCTCTGGACGAGGAAAGACCCATCATTACATCTAGATGGCAGCTTGCTAGCTTTTAAGATCCCAGTCACTACTCACCAAAGAAGGATGTACCAAAAAAAAACCACAAAACAAAAACAAACTCACTGCCATCAAGTCAGTTCTGACTCACAGCAACTCCACCTTGGGTTTCTGAGGCAGTATCTCTATGGAAGTAGATTGCCCCATCTTCCTTCTGAGGAGTGGCTGGTGAGTTTGAACTGCCAGCCTTCTGGTTAGCAGTCAAATACCTTAGGCACTATGCCACTAAAGCTCCTAAGTAGGATATAGAACAATGTTTTTGTGTAGTACTTATGCCAACTGAGCTTGATGTCCCCTACGACCATGGTCCTGAGCCCACAGGTCCAACTACTCGCTACTCCTGAGGCTAGTTTACCATCAACACAAGAGGAAATACTAAAACCCATCTACCTTGTTTCCCAATCTGTTTTTGCAGCTGTTGGAATTCTACTTACAACATCATCACCCACCACATAAATTTTCCAATTAATCAAACTAAAAGTGTTTTTGGCTAAGTTCAGATTCCAGGATGTACAATTCTAACTTCCTACCAACTTACTCTGATGGTGTAGTATCTAAGGCATTTGACTGCTAACCAGAAGGCTGGTGATTCAAACTCACCAGCTGCTCCTCAGAAGGAAGACTAGGCAATCTACTTCCATAGAGATAACTGCCTGGGAAACACAAGTAGGGGTTGCTATGAGTCGGGTCCAACTCGATGGCAGTGAGTTTGGTTTGTTTTTTTTTTACCAAGTTGTACTAGACCAGAAGAAACTTTCCAGATATTTAGGAAGCACTGTACTCTGTATGGTTACAACTTCTACCTGGTCATTTATAATGCCCAAGAGAGATAGACACGTTGCCACTGTATGCCAACGTTTTTTGGTTACTTCAACTTGAGTACAAAAAATCAGTATTTCAGTTTGTGTAAAATGAATAAAACAGCTGCCTTTATCAAATTTACGAACTGAAATTGTGGAATAATATAAATCCTGTTTTCTTATAATTTGGGATACTGTTTTTAGTGCTCTTCAACTTTAACAAGTCACTGCTATAATTAAGAGATGAAAATGCTTCAAAGCACTATTTTGTAACATGAAGAAAGGTCAATGCACAAGATTAATCACAAGGCAGATAGATGACTTAAAAGATTTAAGTACTGCCATATTACAAACAATTTCACAGGAAATAGTGACCATTGTTCATGTGATCACTGAACACAGATTTATGTCAGAAGAAAGAATTTTCATGCATTCTTAACTGTGTCTTTAAGAATTTGTAGATCAGTCAAAACCAGTGCGTACAGTTCTTATTTAGCTTTACTTTAGCACAAGAAAAGGCTGGAACCATTTTCAATGATTTAAAGGCTGCCCGTGCAGCAAGTGAAGGTGATTGTGATGAAGAATTTGTTGTGAATAGAGGTTGGTTCAACTATTTCAAAGCAGGGCTTAAAACTGGTTCAGTCATGGCTGAGGAAGCTCAGAGATGGCAGTGCCTCACTCAGTGATGGCAGCCAACCATACAGCTTTCAATGTGTGTGGCTCTCCACAGCTCTGCCAGTAACCCAATCTCTTGAAGCAGGCTCCTGATTCACAATTCTCTTCTGAGTTTCCCATTCCAGGGCTTCGGCCCACATTTTTTCTGTTCTGGTTAGATGAATCACCTAAACTGTAAAAACTCTACTCTGTTCCTACTTTGCTCTGTCAGTCAAGACAGCACTGGTTCAAAACTCTACATTAAAAGGTAAGCAAGGAGTTTAAGTCAGACATTCATAACCTGGGGACTGCCTGTAATGAGGGAGGTGGAAATGGAGAAAACGAGAGATAAATGAAAGACTAGCTATTTAATTTACCTAGCATTGTTAAGAGAGAGATGGGCTTTTGTATTGTAGCGATGGTTTGGGTTGTATCAATTAGAAAATAAGAGGAAAGATTAGAAAATAGCATTGTGCATTCTATTAAACAATTTCCAGATTATATTCAAAAGACTTCAGTTCTAGTCCTGGTTCTACTACATTTGGCTTTATGACCTTAAGAGACAGGTCATAACCTGACAGAGTCATTTACCTGGCTGGGCCTCAATTTATTTGTAAAAGGAAGAAGAGTATAGGCAGTTTCTGGGTTAAGGTATAACTGGTAGTTATGAACCAACCCTGTAAAGCCTATTATATTACAAATCTGAGGTACATGCAATGGTTTGTGTAACAAATGTGTGCTACTCTTTTTATTACTACTGTATAGCAAATGGGTGCTACTTATCATTACTATACTGTGTTGAAGATGTTTTAGTGTACCTGGAAGTATTTAATGTTTTTATGCATGGCAAGCTATACTATATACTAAGACAAACATTTCCCTAAGCGATATTACATATGAACCATACCTGTTCTGACTGACATACAAATTTGACTTAAAGACAGATTTAGGAATGGAACTCATTCGTAATCTGGGGACTGCCTGTATCTCATCCCTCCCAGCATACTGAAAGTTGACATACTCAAAATGCTGTGTAAAGACCAGAAAGTACTCAAGTTCTTAAGTCCTATGATTCAATGAGTAATTCTCATCACAAACAGTACTTTCATTTCAAGTTATTGCCACCTTTTTTGGAGAACAGTAATTTTAATGGAGAGTTCCACAGATCATCTGGGCAAGCTCCTGATCTCTAACACGCAACGTGGATATTCCCGTGCTACAAACAAGGTAACTGGGCCAACAAGGTAAAATGATGATTTGCCCAAAATCACACAAAAAGTTCCTGATAAAAAGTTCTGGCTGAATTCCTTTCGTCACTAGCCAACAGTGCAACAAATGCAGCAAAATTCCAACTGTTTTAGCAAACAGAAAATCTCAGACATAAAATTTTTAAATTGCTCAAAGGGCCTTAAATATAAATGTTTTTTGAGATAATGTAGCAAAGTACAGTAAATTCCTGGGTTACAGACTTCCAATTTACAACTCATATTTGCCTTTTAATGCTATGTAAATTTGCCCCCACTTTGATACATCCCTACTTGCAACACATTCTTCATCACAATCTCCTACACTTGCTGCATGTGCACTTTTTAAATCAATGAAAAGGCTCAAAGCCATTTCTTCAGGGCGCTGAAGCACTCCATTTCAAGCCCCTGCTGAGAATTTGCATTTTGACCCCAAATATACTGAATCAAAATCTGTATTTTAACAAGATTCCCCAAGTGATTGTTATGTATGCGTAAGATCTTGTTATAATGTAGAGTTTGATTCAGTATATCTGGGATCGAAATGCAAATTCTCAGCAAAGGGTTGAAGTGGCACGAACCCATGGACCCACAGAAGCACTGCTTTTCTGGCACTGAAGAAACCAAACTCACTGCCATCGAGGCAGTTTGACTCATAGCGACCCTTCCTTGGGTTTCTGAGGCAGTATCTCTATGGAAGTAGAGTGCCCAATCTTCCTTCCAAGGAGTGGCTGGTGGGTTTGAACCGCCAGCCTTCTGGTTAGCAGTCAAGTGCCTTAGGCACTATGTCACCAAAGCTCCCCTGGCACTAAAGTAAGGCTAAATAATCATATGCACCTGTTCCAATACCTACAAATTTGACTTAAAGACACACTTAAGGACTGATCTTGTTAGTAACCCAGGGACTACCTATAATTAAGAGAATGGCCTAGGGGGCTAAATTGCCAAGGTATGCATCTCACTTACTTAGTGGTGCCTCAGTTTCCCCATCTATAAAATGGGAAAAATAGAAAGTAACTATTTAAGAGGGTTCCTGTGATGATAAATGATGTATTATATCTGTATGTATGTATGTAAAACAATGTATGCATGTAAAACATTTAGAATAGTGTCAGGCCCAGTGTAAGTCCATATGAATAACAGATATCCTTCTTTCTCCATATAAAACATTTGATCATTACCAAAACTTTTTCAGAAATAGTTAAGGAGTTCTTCAATAATTATTTTTAAGGCATTTTGTGGATTTTACTTCATAATTTTATTTAGACAGTTCAATTTAATTATATAAAGTGTTTCATCATTTCATGCGTTTACTAAGGTAAATCGATCTGTAGATAAACTACTCATTTCCTGCAGTCACAGATGAAATGTTACATGACTAATAGTCTGGGTCAAAGGGTAGTGGTTTCAGAAATATGTTTTACAACTGACCTCTAAGAAGTGGAACATTACTGAAATACCTCAATAAAACCATTTTCTTTCATTGGGATATTCACACAATCAGCAAACACTGCCCTATTTTTGAAACTTACCTGATATGGTTGCTACTAAAACCAATGTCCCATTTTCCTTCCAGTGGATATCATCAATTCCTTCAAAAAAGCATGCAGCCCCTTGATTACACCAGAAAGGGGCATTCATTTCAGGTCGGAGATGGGGAAATGTGCAGTTTCCAAGTTGGAAAAGTTCATACCATTCCATTGTGTAGTTCTTGCCAGTTAAGGTACTCCTGAATCCAACAGCATCATGCATGATTTTCTATGTAAAGATAATACATATATAAAGCATGTGTAAAGGAACCATTGATCCAGGCAAACAGATGGGAGAAAATGTGGAATACTTCAAATGCATCCAGTAGAACAACTGCCCCACTGTTGCTCTTCCATGGTGCTATACTCTGGGGCCCCTCACACTCTAGGCACTCATCCACTCTGGGTTTAATGACTGCAGCTCATCTCAGATAGGAAGGACGTATGTTATGTAGAAACACTTATTGTTTCTTTATAGCCTAGAAAAAGTCCTAGAAGCTGACATGCCACAGCCTCAGGAAGAAACTCTGTGTACCTCACAGGGTCATGAGAGAACAGCATGCTGAGCCAACCCAGGAAAAGTGTTTACACAACAAGGCCTGGAAATTAAGAAGTGTTTCCTGCCTTGCCTGCCCCTTGCCTCCTTCTTTCTGATTTCCAGGAGTTGGGTTCCGTTTCAGAATTACTATTTTTGTTGTTAACTGCAGCTGAGCTGGCCCTGACTCATGGAGATACGATGAATTGCTCCACAGGGTTTCTTGGTTGTAATCTCTGTGGAAATAGTTTACCAAGGCTTGCTTCTGGGAGCTGCTGGGTGGATTTGAACTGCCTACCTTTAGATTAGCAGTCAACTGCAAACAGCTTGCACTACCCAAACTCCTTTTCAAACTATTAAGCCAGATTAAAGTTATTGCATTTGCTCCTGCATTACACAATCTGGTTGCGTAGTGCCTAAGGCATGTGACTGCTAACCAGAAGGCTGGCGGTTCAAATCCACCAGCCACTCCTCAGAAGGAAGACTGGGCAATCTACTTTCATAGAGATATCACCTTGGAAACCCAAGGAGAGGTTGCTATGAGTAAGATTTGAGTCAACAGCAGTGAGCTGAGCTTGACTCATTTTACACATGCCAGGTTGCTGTTGTTAGGTGCCATAGAGTTGGTTTTGACTCACAGCAACCTCATGTACAATAGAACACAATATTGCCTGGTTCTGTGCCATCCTCACAATTGTTACTATTCTTGAGCCCACTGTTGCAGCCACTGTGTCAATCCATCTCATTGAGGGTCTTCTTCTTTGTTGCTTGATAAATAATGCTTGGTAAAATACATGGGCAGCTACAGAGAGGAAGACCCTCAATGAGAGGTTCTTTTTTCAGGGATTGGTCCATCCTAATATCATATCCAAAACATGATCTAAAATCAGCCATTTCAAGTGTTTATTCCCTCAAATCAATTTCATTAATGAAATTATTTAATTAAGCAAAGCCACAAGATCAAGATGCATCCTTACCATGTGACTCAGGAGGTCTCCATATTTAAATTCCCATACTGGGGCTTGTAATCGAAAGACTTCAATGACATCGTCACCCTTCAAAGTTGGGATAGAAGAGCCAGTTGGACAGAATGTATATTTAGCTTGACAATAAGGATCTGGTTCTGGACGGAAGGAAAAGCGCCTAATAAAGGAAAAGAAACTATCAACTTAGATTCTGAAAGGAATTTACGTCTTCTTACACATTTTAGATTTTAATTTCACTGTAAGGAACTTTTTTAAGAAAAACATTCAAAGTTCATACTATACTACATAAATACAAATATACATTTAATTTATCCTGTGAATAAATTCCAACTATGTCTTTAATAGCCACACCAAACCCCATGTCATCAAGTTGATTCCAACTCATGGTGACCTCATGTATTACAAAGAATTATTCCAGAGGGTTTTGTTTGGCTTTAATCTTTATGGAAGTAGACTGCCAGGCCTTTCTTCTGCAATGTTGCTGGGTGGATGTTCTGGTTACCTAGTGCCGCTCTGACAAGAATATATGACAAATGGGATGGCCTTAAGTCCAAGGTTAGAGTGCCAGGCTCTAGGGGCTGGGTGAAAGCCCCTCAACCTTGGCTTCAGCTCTGCCTCCTGCTCCCAGCCCACTGAAGCTAGAGGCTTTTCTTCACTCAGCTGGTTGACAAGTGAAAAGACACAGTCCCAAAGTTACCAAACTACACAGCAGGCCATTAATTCAAGTCCATTAAATGCCCCAAGATCGGCAGAGCATGGCAGGCTGCTGAACAATGACATGGCTACATGCAGGGTTCAAATGTGCCATAAGTTAGCGACCATTCCTAAGGCTTCTTCTTATATACAGGAAGCAGACCACATCCTGAAGGCAGCTACACAGCTGCTCACAGTACATTCTACCATGTACTGTGTACTCAACCATGGAGTTAATTACCAGTCTCATCATCAGTAACACTATATCCAGCTGCCCAGCCACTCAACCAGGCCCAGCCAAGATGACACACAGACTTAACCACCACCGTAGGTTTGAACTACAAACCTTTGGTTTAGTGGTTGAGCACAAACCATCTGTACCACCCAGGGATGTTCATGTCTTTCAAAACAAATGACAAACAAAAAGCATTTTGATAAATACTTATTTCCCTCCCCACTTTCCTTGCGAGAATTTTCCTGCTCTCACTGTGAGAATTTTGAAGGCAGGTACCATATCCTAAAATGTTTATAGATTCAGGAAACTATCATAGTAAACATATAAGTAAGTATTTTTCAAATTAAATTTAATTTTCCAAACAGTTCATACATTAGAAAGAAATTTACTGAAATGAGGATTAAATATATTTTGTATCTTGTAAAGAATTAACCAATATATATTTTTAAAAAATTTTAAAGGCCACAAAGCACATATTTTAGAAGGTTCCTCCATGCATTATCAAACTTACACAGGAAAATGGAGAATTGGATGGAGAGTGATAGAGAAAGGAAAGAAACTAACATTTATTACTCTCAACCAACATTCTTTTAAACAATATTTACTGAGGATTTACTATGTGTGAGACACTAGCAAGAAGAGGAACAAAAATTAAAATTCTCTTCTTCACAGAGTTTGAGATGGGGATATAGAAGACATTAAACAATAGTGTGGGAAGTGCTAAGGAGCCTTGGTAGTGTAGTGGTTAAGCACCCAGCTGCTAACTGAAAGGTCAGGAGTCTGAATCCAACAGCCACTCCACGAGAGAAAGATGTAGTAGTCTGCTTCTGTAAAGATTACAGCTTTGGAAATTCTATGGGACAGGATTCTATAGGTTCACTATAAGTTAAAATCAACTCGACAGCAATAGGACAGGTAATAAGTAACAAAGTAAAGAAATGTTCAAAGTCCTGTGTGGGCACAAGGAAAGGAGAAATCATTTTTGCCTGGTGGGAAATGGATAAGGAAGGAGATAAAGGTCTGGACTATGTGTTTCAAGTATTTAGGAAGGAGGTGAGGGCAGAAAGGGAGAGAAAACACCCAGTATTATAAGCAGGACGAGCTGGTCACAAGTATGGCACGTTGGAAGAGTCTCAATGGGCACGTAAGACTAGAACTCTGTCTCCGAGGCAAGGGTGGCAAGAGGAGAGGGAGGCAGGGACAAGTCATTTTGCCACAAATACGGTGTGAAGGGCGCCCTCTGGAGTCATAAACTATGTACAACAAGGGAGTGAGCTTAAAGGATCTAAGCAGCAGATATGATTTGATTGAAACATGCTATAAATTGTATTTTATGAAGTGGAAGAGGGTGGGGACAGAGGCCAAATTAAGACTAAGAGCCAAGTTAGGAAAATTAAATAGAATTTGAAAAATACTCACTTATTCAAAGCCTAGTAACACAGGCAAGAAAAGGTGTCCTCAGAAAGCCATAGTCAAAGGCTGAGGGGTGGGTAGGTGGGCATTATGATTAAAGTCAGCTTTTTAAAACCATCCATACCTGCTACTAGGAAGAGAAAGACAAATACGAAGCTATATCTATCTTTACTCTAAGAATCATAGATCCCTAAGGTTCTAGCCAGATCTACTGTTTTGCAATCGTAACATAGCAACACAAATTTCAATTTTAACGTAAGGTTAATAAAATATTTTATGAACAATTTATTATTAAAACAAGCACTAACTTCAATTCAAAACTTCTCTTTTCCTCATGTGTATCAGGCAAAAACCTAGACGCAGTGCAAACCTTTCAGTGAGCATTAATAATTAATATAAAGATTTGACAACAATTGCCATCTGGTAGCACAGTGCCTAAGGCACTTGACTGCTAACCAGAAGGCTGGTGGTTCAAACCCACCAGCCACTCCTGGGAAGGACGGTTGGGTAATGTACTTCCGTAGTGATACCACCTCAGAAACCCAAGGAGGGGTCTCTATGAGTCAGGTCCGACTCGAGGGCACATAACGACAATCTTACTTCTGTAGTGATACTGCCTCGGAAACCCAAGGAGGGGTCGCTATGAGTCGGGGCCGACTCGAAGGCACATAACAACAACAACAACAACAACAACAACAATGCTGTAAGAAAGGATCTACCAACGATTCCTACTTTATGATTGAGGACAAAGACACATAGAGATACCGGGTAACTTTCCCGAGAGCACACAGCTATTGTTGGTGGAGCCAGATTTAACTCCCATCCAGCAGAACTCTGCTCCTAACCACTAGATTATCCTGTCTCTCCAATTCACTACAGTGTCATCCACCTTACCTTCAATGATCTGAGTGGACCCTACTGTACTTTCAAAAAAAGGTTGATCCTGCTTCTGTCTGCTGTTGCCGCAGTGTTTTCTTCCTCTATTTTTAACTACTGGACAGTCTCAACCAAAGGAACCCCAAACCCACTGCCACCAAGTAGACTCAGACTCTTAGCTACCCTATAGGTCTGAATAGAATTGCCCCGTAGGGTTTCCAAGGCTGTAAATCTCTACGGGAGCAGATTGCTTTATCTTTCTCCCCCGCAGGGCTGGTGGGTTCCAACCGCAGACCTTTCGGTTAGCACCCAAATCCTACGGTCTTGTAAGTAATCTTGCAGTTTACTACCCTGATTTGTGATTATTCTGTCTCTAGGCTGAAGACGGTGGACAAGCGAGATGACCAACCTTCCTGATTTGCTCGGAACTGAGGGGGACGCAAGGCTTTTAGTGCTGAAATCGGGGAAGTCCCAGACAAACCAGGACGTGTTTGTCACCTTATAAAGTGTGTTACAGATTAAGTACTAGTGATAACAAATAGTGCATAAACCACCAAACCCACTACCCTGCAGTCAATTCCAAGTCATACCGACCCCCATTGGGTTTCCGAGCAGGTAAATCTTTACGGAAGTAGATTGCCCCACCTTCCTTCCCAGGAAGGGTTTGAACCACCAACCTGTTTAGTATCAAATACCTTAGGCACTATGCCACCAGAACTGCTAATAGTGCGGAAAATAACAAATCTATATTTAAACCACCATCTCAAACTACTCAGAGACATCAGTTGTTGTTGTTGTTGTTGTTATGTGCCGTCGAGCCAAACCTGACTCACAGCGACCCCTCCTTGGGTTTTCAGGCAGTATCACTACGGAAGTAGGATTGCCCAACCTTCCTTCGGAGGAGACATCAGTTAAACATATCTAAAAGACATTCAATAACATTACTCCTTTTTTCTTCCACGATTCTGGACTATCTTGAGTCTGTCTCAAACTGTAAAAGGCCTCGAGGCGGCGCGTGACAAGCTGCTGACACGATCGGGTTCTCAACTTTGCTCTAAACCATAAAGGAGATTTCCACAGGCCTGAGTGTTTAGCAGGAAGCGCTGGCGCGCACCGCGTCCGCACGGCCGCGTGACGCGGAACAGCAACACCTGCGCGCCGAGGCAGAGTTCACATTCACCGCCCCCCCCCCCCCGCTGCCCACTTTACCCGTGCGCGCGCGCCCCAGCCTGTACCACGCCCACACTCACTTGTAAGGCACGGGCCACTGGCGTCCGGCGCGGTCTTCTGATAGCTGGGACCAGCCTGGGGCTGCTGCCAGCAAGAGCAGCAACTGGACCCACTTTAGAGCCGCACCCTGCTGCCCCCTGACCTCCAGGAGGGCGCTCCTCGCCTGCGCCATGTGGCGGCTTCCAGTGCTCGCGGAGCCTCCCGAGCCCCGCGACAATGGGGCCCCGTCGAACCGAGCATGCGCGGAGGTGCTCCTCTGGCGCTCGGCGCGAACCTGGGAGTCGGGTCGCGGTCGGCGGTAGGTCCCGCCTCGGCGGAGTCCAGATCCGGCCTACGCTGCACGTGACGCCTCCCTCAGCGCGAGGCGGAGCAAGCACTGGGGTATCAGCGCGGCCTAGTTTCTCCTCTTCTCCCACTGCTCTTTGCACAGTGGTGGTGGCCCCGTAACTTTTTCTAGGAGTTAAATGACCCGGAAGGCCCTTTTATTCTATCTGGCCCACTCAGAGAGCTTGAAGTCTTCTCTTTATTTCATAGTTTAAAGATCTTCTGTGGAGCTTCGTCTGACTTTCCCCCAACAAAACAACCCAAACACAATGAAAACGTCACTGGGCTCCTTCCTCCTCTGAATAGCATCAAACTCTTACTCAATCCCACAGGGCCCAAAGTAAGTGCCAACAAACATTTGAGAGAATGAGAATCTATTTGGAGGTGATGGGAGTAGTGAGGAAGGTGGGAACAGCAGTGGGGAGGCGATTACCCTCGCTCAACCTAACCAGGTGATGACAATGTTGTTGTTGTTATGTGCCGTCAAGTGGGACCGACTCATAGCGACCCCTCCTTGGGTTTCCGAGGTAGTATCACTACAGAAGTAGATTGCCCCATCTTCCTTCTGAGGAGTGGCTGATGGGTTTGAACTGCCAGCCTTCCGGTTATCAGTCAAGTGCCTTAGGCATGCATGTGTGGTCCATGCTACTATTCCAAACATCTTTTAATCCACCTTCCCAGATGTTTCTTCTTGTTTAAATCTATCGCTTCAAAGGGGAAGAAAATTCTACATTTCCTTCTCTTTTACTCTTCTGTAGGAGCTCTGGTGGTGCAGTGGCTAAGGCGCTAAGGCATTTGGCTGCTAACAAAAAGTGGGTGATTGGAACCTACAACAAACCACTCTATGGGAGAAAGATGAGGCAGTCTGCTTCCATAGAGTTTTACAGCTTTGAAAATCCCATGGGGCAGTTCTGGTCTGTCCTATGGAGTCACCATGAGTCAGATTCCACTCTATGGCAGTATATTTTTTGGTTTTTGGTCTTTGGCGCTTCAAACATCTCAGGAGAACAGTGGTCAACTGCCCTGCTTTGGGTGAAACCATGCCCTGCCAGGATGTTGCAAATACTTACTTATTCCTGTAAATAGGATATTAAAGGCCTTGTCACATACTTGTTTTTAGAGAGAGCAGCCTGAAGTGTCCACAGAACAAGGCTTTCCAGCTTCTTCATTTCACCCATAACATGTGTTGTGGTTATGTGCTGTGGAATAGATTCCTACTGGTAGGGACCCAATGTGGCAGAGTAGAAGTAACTGCCTCATAGGGATTTCTAGTTATTGTGCACTGCCCAGTTGATTTTGACTCATAGTGACACCATGTAACAGTAGAACTACCCAGTAGGGCTTCTTAGGATGTAACTGGACCAATAAGCAGCATCATAATAAATGGTTAAAGTTGTCAAATACTTCATATTACTTGGTTCTACAATCAACACTAATGGACGCAGCAGTGAAGACATCATATGATGTATTGCATTGGGCAAATCTGCTGCAAAGGACCTCTTCCAAGTGCTGAAGAGCAAAAATGTCTCCTTGAAGACTAAGGTGCGCCTGACCCAAGCCATGGTATTTTTAATCGCCTCATATGCATTTGGGGAAGCTCTGGTAGCATAGTGCCTATGACATTTGACTGCTAAGCAAAAGGCTGGCGGTTCAAACCCACCAGCAACTCCTTGGAAGGAAGATTAGGTAGTCTACTTCCATAGAGATACCACCTGGAAACCCAAAGAAAAGTTGCTACGAGTCAAGTTGACTCGACACCAGTGGTTTGGTTGGTTTTCATATGCATGTAAGAGCTGGACAATGAATAAAGAATACCAAAGAAGAGTTTATGCTTTTGAGTTGTGTTGGTGAAGAATACTGAAAGTACCACGGAATGCTAAAACAATGAACAAATCTGTCCTGGAAGAAGTGCAGCCAAAATGATCCTTGGAAGGAAGAATGGCCAGACTTCATCTCATCTACTTTGGTCATGTTGTCAGAAGGGATCGTTCCCTGGAGAAGGATATCATGCTTGGTTAAGAGGAGGGTCAACGGAAAAGAGGAAGGCCCTTAATAAGATGGATAGAGACAGTGGCTGCAAGGATGGGCTCAGGCATAGCAGGGATTGTGGGGCTGGGGAAGGACTGGGCAGTTTTTTGTTCTGTTGTACATAAAAGGTCGCTGTGAGTCAGACATGACTCAATGGCACCTAACAACAACGATCTTCACAGAAGCAGATTGCCAGGTCTTTTCTCCATCAGAACAGCTGGTGGGTTTGAAGTGTCGATCTTTTAGTTAGCAGCTGAGCATTTAACCATTGTGCTCCCAAATCTCCTTAACTAAGCTAGGTGACTCCAATCCCAGTTCTCCCCTTATTCCACCTCCCAACTGAAAATCACTAAGGCTAAACTGGCTTCTCCAAAAGCCACCTGAGATGAGAGGTGAAAGCATCCTAGCCATAAAGTTGGAAGGCAACATCTGCTTTAAAGGGTCTCTGCAGGATCCTGTGTGGGCCTCCTGTGCATAGCTTGAACACTAATTAAAAAGAACAACTCTCTAAAGTAAAATAACTTGCAAATAATAGAACCGTATACTAAAGGTCTGCAGTCAAACTTCCTATCCAGTTTAGGAGTTCCAGAGCTACACAAATTAGCTTCAAGTTGACCGTGGTCAGTGATGGGTTCTTCCAGGTCTGCAGTCTCTTTACTCCATATGCAGGCAGCTCTAATGGTTAGAAAATGTCTTCTTATATTGGCCCTAACTCAGTGTCCCATCCACTCTGGTTGTATTTTACCCTCTGGTGACATGCATTAAACCTTCTTCTCTTGGCCATGAGCTAAGCACCACAGCCTAAAGATGTTTGTACCTTTGTCATCCTGGTTACTTGCCTCTAGCCCATGGCTTTAAACTTTGAGAAACCATAAATAGAACTGAATTTTAATTTAATTACTTTCCCTTATGCCCTTGTCTAATCAACTCAAAATCATTAGGAACAATACTGACTTATGGCTAGAAATTGATTTATTGACCTATTGCAATGAGGGAGATCAAATACTAGATGATCTATGGGACATCTCCCCAAAGGAAAAGATAGGGTTACTATAGGATTCTGGGAAAGGGTAGAGTTTAGAAGGAATTTAAATGAGCAGTGTTTGATGGGATTAACTCAAAAGAGGGCTTTGTGTCAGCATGCAGGGTCAATATCAAGTATAGACTACAAAGTGGACCCAGGGTTCTATTTTCTTAGAAACTGTAAAGTTACATGTGGAATGTTGTGTCCAGAAACCCTTGCATCTGAGTTCTGAATGGAAGCTGCTTCTCTTTGTCTGAGTGACTGAGATCTTCCAGGCAAAGGTGGGATATTTCATTCTTACGGATATTCCAAACAGCAGTCTGTCTAAGTCTATTAAGAGAACATAGTTTCTCAGATGCAGGATGTTAGGACACTTTAAAGCTTTACCACATTCTTGAGAGAGAGAATGCTTTCTGTTATTTTTCATCTGGCTTTATCTGTCTTTTACTCCAGCGTAATGAATGGCAGGACAGATATTTAAGAGTGGAAGCTATTTTAAAAATTTCCCCCTTGTTATCCTAGGTTTATTATTATTAATATTTTGAGCATTAAAAAAACATTCTGAGAAGGGCTACATAGGCCTGCTGCCAAAGTAGTCCATAAAACACAAGTATAAGAGCCCCTACCCCTGCTTATTTTTTGCACTAATGTTAAAGTAAGATGTTAACAAAAATCTTGAAATTAAACAAAAACATTAACATCTCTCTAAAAACTTACTTGTTTTATAATTTGGTGTTTGATTTAGTGTTTAGTGTTCATCTATTAACCAAAAGGTCAGTGGTTCAAACCTGCCAGCTGCTCCATGGGAAAAAAGACGTGGTAGTTTGTTTCCAAACTACTACCAGATGGAGCACAAAAGAATCAGATTGACTACATCTGTGGCAAGAGGCGATGGAGAAGCTCAATATCTTCAGCCAAAACCAGGCCAGGAGCTGATTGTGGAACAGACCATCAACTGCTCATATGCAAGTTCAACTTGAAGTTGAAGTCAATTAAAATGATTCCAAGAGAGCCAAAATAAGATCTTGAATATATCCTTCCTGAATTTAGAGACCATCTAAAGAATAGATTTGATTGTCTGAACACCAATGACCAAAAACCAGAAGAATTGTGGGAGGATATCAAGAACATTATCCATGAAGAAAGCAAGAGATCACTAAAAAGATGAGAAAGGAAGAGAAGACCAAAATGGATGACAGAAGAGACTCTGAAACTTTCCCTTGAACGGAGAGAAGCTAAAGCCAATGGAAGAAATGACAAGATAAAAGAGCTGAACAGAAGATTTCAAAGAGCAGCTCGAACAGACAAAACCAATTTCTTTAATGAAATGTTCAAAGATCAGGAGTTTGAAAACCAAAAGGGAAGAACGTGCTCAGCATTTCTCAAGCTGAAAGAATTGAAGAAAAAATTTAAGCTTCGAGTTGCAATATTGAGAAATTCTGTGGGCAAAATATTGAATGATGCAGGAAACATCAAGAGAAGATGGCAGTAATACACAGAATCACTGTACCAAAAGGAACTGGTTGATCTTCATCCATTTCAGGAAGTGGCTTATGATCTAGAACCAATGGTACTGAAGGAGGAA